GTATACACTGTGTAGAACATAAAAGAGATATAAAGCTAACTGCTCAAGGAAAGCAATTGTCAAAATGAGAGAGAATTAATACTTGTCAGAAAACTGAGATAGCCAAAAAAGGAGCTATTAACTTTGAATTTTGTTAGCTTTGAATTTTTAGAGGTTTAAGCAACTAGAATTCACATCCCCTCCCCCCCCCCCGCACCCCATTTCAGTTCTAGTCAGTAAATGTCACTGTGTGTCAGGGTAAATAATAGTTTCAGTAGTAAGTGTGAAAAGGAAGTGATGTGTGTTCAGGAAGGATGTTGTGGTCCAGGTCAAAACAGTGCTTTAAGGAAAGCAATCCAAGGTAAGAGTATGCTTTTGAATTTCACAAATAATACTTTCTTTCTGTGTCAAGATTGCTATATTGAGGGACACACGGGTGACTTAGCAGTTGAGCATCTGCCTTTGGCTCAGGGCATGATCCTAGGGTCCTGGGATCAAGTCCCACATCAGGCTCCCTGTGGGGAGCCTGCTTCTCCCTCTGCCTATGTCTCTGCCTGTATCTCTCATGAATAAATAATAAAATCTTTTTTAAAAAAATTACTATATTGGGCAGCCCGGTGGCTCAGGGGTTTAGCACCACCTTCAGCCCAGGGCCTGGTCCTGGAGACCTGGGATCGAGTCCCACGTCGGGCTCCCTGGGGTCTGCTTCTCCCTCTGCCTGTGTCTCTGCCTCTCTTTTTCTGTCTCTGTGTCTCTCATGAATAAATAAATAAAATCTTAAAAAAAAATTGCTATATTGATTGCCATGTTGTCTTCTTCCAGTCTGCATAGGATACAATGCCTAGCCATGGATAGGTTAGTGTGATAGATAAGGAATTGAACACACTTTGAGTTGGACACCCTGGTTTTTTATCCTAGCTGTGCCATTTACTTTAGTTGCCATACTGCTATAGTAACTGTTCAGTTATTTGTGAAGACTAGCTAAATAAATCATGTAGAGTGCTTTATTATATAGTCCCTAGCACATGGTAAGTGCTCAACAAAAGGTTAGCAATAAAGATTTCAGTATCATCTCTATTAGCATTTGAGTCAAGATCTAAGTAGGTGCCATTGCCTCTGTTATATAGACTCTTACACTGACAGTATTTTACCAGTTCTTGTCCTTTTAGCACTCTCCACCCATAATGCAAACATATTTCCAAAAGCAGAGCTATTTATCAGACATGGTATATTTTATCTTTGTGGAAAAACACAGCTGTATTTGGTATCTTGCTTACCTCTCTCTTTCATCTTATCTTTGCCACACTATTCCGTGAACACATCAGGCATACCTTGGACCACATACAAGCACATACACCAATCTCATGGTCTTTGATCTTACTTCACCTCTTGCTTCAGATGCTCTTTTTTTTAAAATAATAAATTTATTTTTTATTGGTGTTCAATTTGCCAACGTACAGAATAACACCCAGTCCAGTGCTCATCCTGTCAAGTGCCCCCCTCAGCGCCTGTCACCCATTCACCCCCACCCCCCGCCCTCCTCCCCTTCCACCACCCCTAGTTCGTTTCCCAGAGTCTTTATGTTCTGTCTCCCTTTCGCTTCAGATGCTCTTCCTCCAGAGAGCCCCATAGCTCACTAACTGCACCTCATTTGGTCTCTTTAATATCACCTCTTTAGAAAGACCTCCCCTGAGTATCCTATCTAAAAACTACTCCTTATGATTTTCTTATCCTGCTTGTTATTTCTTTGTGGCGCTTCCCATTATCTCACCTTATTTTCTGCATGTATTCATTGTCATTTCCCCCACTCTGGAATGAAAGTTCTGTAAGTTAGGATCATTCACTGTTTTATCTTCATGCCTGAAAGAGTGATAAGTAGACAAGTAAGGAAGTATTTATTAGTGAATGATTTAAAAATGTGGAGATTGTTAGACCTAAACATGAAAGCTACTCTTTAATAATTATTCTAAGAGGAGGGGCAAGATGGCGGAAGAGCAGGGTCCCCAGGTCACCTGTCCCCACCAAATTACCTAGATAACCTTCAAACCATCCTGAAAATTTACGAATTCGGCCTGAGATGTAAAGAGAGACCAGCTGGAATGCTACAGTGAGAAGAGTCCGCGCTTCTATCAAGGTAGGAAGACGGGGAAAAAGAAATAAAGAAACAAAAGGCCTCCAAGGGGGAGGGGCCCCGCGAGGAGCCGGGCTGAGGCCGGGGCGAGTGTCCCCAGGACAGGAGAGCCCCGTCCCGGAGGAGCAGGAGCTGCACCAACCTTCCCGGGGGAAAGGGGCTCGCAGGGAGTTGGAGCAGGACCCAGGAGAGCGGGGATGCCCTCGGGCTCCCGGGGACACTAACAGACACCTGCGAGCGCAGGAGAGTGCTCCGAGCTCCCTAAGGGCTGCAGCGCGCACGGCGGGCGACCGGAGCAGCTCGGAGGGGCTCGGGCGGCGGCTCCGCGGAGGGGGCTGCGGGGCGGGAGCGCGAATCCACCAGCGCAGGCCCCGGAGCACAGGGCGCCGGGACACAGCCCAGGATCCGGCCTCCCCCGGGACAGGCAGAGGCCGGGAGGGCCCGAGACAGCGAAGACGCTCCTGCCCCGAGCTGAGCAGATCAGCGGCCCCGCCCCGGAGCCTCCAGGCCCTGCGGACGGAGAGCCGAGAGCCCCGAGCCCCGTAGTTCCTGCGGAGGCTGACTCCAGGCTTCCAGAGTTGCCATAGCAACTGCGGCTGTTCCTCCTGGGGCCTGACGGGGTAAACAACCCCCGCTGAGCCCTGCAGCAGGCAGGGGCAGAGCAGCTCCCCCAAGTGCTAACACCTGAAAACCAGCACAGCAGGCCCCTCCCCCAGAAGACCAGCTAGAGAGACCAGTGATACTCCCCCGTGTTCCAATACAACTTGTTTTTGGCCACTCTGCACTGAGCAAAATGACTAGAAGGAAAACCTCACTTCAAAAGAAAGAATCAGAAACAGCCCTCTCTCCCACAGAGTTACAAAATCTGGATTACACTTCAATGTCAGAAAGCCAATTCAGAAGCACCATTATACAGCTACTGGTGGCTCTAGAAAAAAGCATTAAGGCCTCACGAGACTTCATGACTGCAGAATTTAGATCCAATCAGGCAGAAATTAAAAATCAATTGAATGAGATGCAATCCAAACTAGAAGTCCTAACGACGAGGGTTAACGAGGTGGAAGAACGAGTGAGTGACATAGAAGACAAGTTAATGGCAAAGAGGGAAACTGAGGAAAAAAGAGACAATCAATTAAGGGACCATGAAGACAGATTACGGCAAATAAATGACACTCTAAGGAAGAAAAACCTACGTTTAATTGGGGTTCCCGAGGGCGCCGAAAGGGACAGAGGGCCAGAATATGTATTTGAACAAATCCTAGCTGAAAACTTTCCCAATCTGGGAAGGGAAACAGGCATTCAGATCCAGGAAATAGAGAGATCCCCCCCTAAAATCAATAAAAACCGTTCAACACCTCGACATCTAATAGTGAAGCTTGCAAATTCCAAAGATAAAGAGAAGATCCTTAAAGCAGCAAGAGACAAGAAGTCCCTGACTTTCATGGGGAGGAATATTAGGGTAACAGCAGACCTCTCCACAGAGACCTGGCAGGCCAGAAAGGGCTGGCAGGATATATTCAGGGTCCTAAATGAGAAGAACATGCAACCAAGAATACTTTATCCAGCAAGGCTCTCATTCAAAATGGAAGGAGAGATAAAGAGCTTCCAAGACAGGCAGGAACTGAAAGAATATGTGACCTCCAAACCAGCTCTGCAAGAAATTTTAAGGGGGACTCTTAAAACTCCCCTTTAAGAAGAAGTTCAAGTAACTCTGAACGTGAATGGGCTTAATGACCCCATCAAAAGGCTCAGAGTTTCAGACTGGATAAAAAAACAGGACCCATCTATTTGCTGTCTACAAGAGACTCATTTTAGACAGAAGGACACCTACAACCTGAAAATAAAAGGTTGGAGAACCATTTACCATTCAAATGGTTCTCAAAATATACCCTAAAAGCTACAGAACACTTCTGAAAGAAATTGAGGAAGACACAAAGAGATGGAAAAATATTCCATGCTCATGGATTGGCAGAATTAATATTGTGAAAATGTCAATGTTACCCAGGGCAATTTACACGTATAATGCAATCCCTATCAAAATTCCATGGACTTTCTTCAGAGACTTAGAACAAATTATTTTAAGATTTGTGTGGAATCAGAAAAGACCCCAAACAGCCAGGGGAATTTTAAAAAAAGAAAACCATATCTGGGGGCATCACAATGCCAGATTTCAGGTTGTACTACAAAGCTGTGTTCATCAAGACAGTGTGGTACTGGCACAAAAACAGACATATAGATCAATGGAACAGAACAGAGAACCCAGAAGTGGACCCTGAACTTTATGCTCAACTAATATACGATAAAGGAGGAAAGACGATCCACTAGAAGAAAGACAGTCTCTTCAATAAATGGTGCTGGGAAAATTGGACATCCACATGCAGAAGAATGAAACTGAACCACTCTCTTGCACCATACACAAAGATAAACTCAAAATAGATGAAAGATCTAAATGTGAGACAAGATTCCATCAAAATCCCAGAGAAGAACTCAGGCAACACCCTTTTTGAACTTGGCCACAGTAACCGGAGAAGGACAAACAGTGTATGTTCTCATTCATTTGGGGAATATGAATAATAGCGAAAGGGAATATAAGGGAAGGGAGAAGAAATGTGTGAGAAATATCAGAAAGGGAGACAGAACATAAAGACTTCTAACTCTGGGAAATGAACTAGGGGTGGTGGAGGGGGAGGAGGGTGGGGGGTGGGGGTGAATGGGTGACGGGCACTGAGGGGTACACTTGACGGGATGAGCACTGGGTGTTATTCTGTATGTTGGTAAATTGAACACCAATAAAATTAATTTATAAAAAAAAAATAATTATTCTAGAAGTAGCTAAGTTGGAGAATCCTACTGAAAAAAAGTCTTAAATTGCAATTTCTTTTTCTTTTAGGAAAATATTGACTCTGGAGAGATGGGAGAAAAATTGTCCCTTCGTAAACAGCGCTTCATGCAGTTTTCTTCACTAGAACATAAAGGAGAATATTATATGACACCACGAGACTTCCTCTTTTCAGTGATGTTTGAGCAAGTGGAACGTAAGTTGTTTTTTGGATTTTTTTTAAGCTTTTTTTTTTTAATCAAACTTTAAGGCTAAAAACCTTCTATTTTTCAGAATTGGTAACAGCTCTTTTTCATTTTAAGTATAATTCTTTGTACCATGCATTTGCTTATTATTTAGACTTTATATTCTTCATGAAAGAAGTGTAGTTGAACTTTTTATGTATTTAAGAAATAGTTATTTTGTTTTGTTCATGGGTTTTTCTAAAGAACCAAAAGAAAAACAAGTTTTTAATGTCACTAAATATGTTAACAGAATAATTAAATTATCTAGCATATTAGTTTTTGGTAGTATTGATGTTTTAAATTGGGCAAAGAATGAAACCAGATTAAAGCAATTGGGGAGAACCCCAAAAAATATAATAAGAAGCAAAATCCAGAAGCTATAATTATGTAATTTTATTTCATAAACCATCAACTTTTAGTTATTCCACATGATGTTAGAAATTCTTAATCACCTAACCTAATCCCTTTTACTTTGCAGAGAATAAATATGGCCCTGTCCTCTATGCCTTTATTATAAAGGTGTTCTCTGGAAGCTTCTTGACTTCCTGACACCTCTCAGGGGTGCTGGAAATACTACCCTGGAGGTAGCTATAGGTGGGACAGGTGATATGGGCTAGGCCAAAGTATGCAATAACAAGTATAAATTGAGTTGAAAAAGACTACAAAGACTTTGGGGAACCATTATCAATATAAAACATCAATACTACCAAAAACTAATATGCTAAATAAATTAATTATTCTGTTAACATATTTAGTGACAATGAATACAGGTCCCTTTTACTTTGCAGAGAATAAATATGGCCCTATCCCCTGTGCCTTTATTATAAAAGTGTTCTCTGAAAACTTCTTGACTTCCTGACACCTATCGGGGGTGCTGGAAGTACTACCCTATAGGTAGCTGTAGGTGGGACAGGTGATAGGGGCTAGGCCAAAGTAAGAAATAACAAGTATAAATTGAGTTGAAAAAGACTACAAAGACTTGGGGAACCATTATCAATATTGAGAGATGACTTGAATAAAAAACTTGTGAAGACCCAACCATGAGAGTCCCGTGTACTTTTGTGAATTTTACCTAGAGGAGTCCCACCAGGTTCTCACAGTGAGGATCTAAGGAAAATCTTCCCTCGGGAAGAGGAGAAAAGTAATCATTTTGAAAATACTTCCGGAGCATTCTGTTCTCCTTAGTGAAGGGCTACACAGACAGGGAACTTTTACCAAAGTTTAACCAACCTAGGGGAATGGAAATATCCAACTCTGGCCCCCTCTAGCTTTCCTGTTTCACTTATGGAGGAAAACAAAAAACAGAAAGCACTAGTGAATATCACAACTCAGGGACACTGGCTCGCTAACAGACCAAGACCTAATCATAAGGTTATAAAGCTCCTCGCCTCCCCGCACACGTCACCACACGTCACAAAGGGTCCTAAGGAGAATACCACAGAAGAACTGCACCCTCAGACCTTATATATGAAGGAGTCTCTAAGGAAATGAAAACAACAGAGAAAACAAAAACAAGGACAACAGAAGAAGTGTTTAAAAGCCTCTCACACATACAACTGTAGCAGAAATTAAATTCATCCTAGTTTTATCCATATAAAATAGAACCTCACACTTAAGATCTATCTCTAAGTAATATTTACCTAATAAATCCTGTCTGATTCTCAGGAAACTCAGTTGACATGTTAACAGGCAAAAGACAGTCTGAAGAGACAAAGCAAGCATTAGAACCAGATAAAAATATAGCAGAGATTTTGGAATTAGCAGACCAGAATTTAAAATAACCATGGTTAATATATAACTAAGTGCTCTAATAGAAAAAAGTACACAACATGTAATAACAGATAGGCAAGGTAAGCAGAGGTGGGGAAACCCTTAGAATCAAAAGGAAATGTAGAAATAAAAAACACTATAATAGAAATGAAGAATGCCTTTGATGGGCTCATCAGAATAATGCTCTGGGCCAAGGAAATAATCATTGAGCTTGAAGACATGTTAATTAAGACTCCCCAAACTGAAAAGAAGAAAGACTGGAAAAAAAAAAAAAACAACATCCAAAAAGTGTGGGACAATTCAAAAATTTTAACATGAATGTAATAGCAATACCAGAAGAGGAAAGAACAGGAGAAATATTCAGAGTAATTAATGCTGAGAAATTTCCAAAATTATTAGTAAACACTAAGCTACAAATTCAAGAAGTTCACAGAATCCTAAGCAGGATAATTTTTTTTTTAAAGCCTATACTTAGGCATATCATTCAAACTATGGAAAATCAAAGACAGAAAGAAAATCTTAATAGAAGTCAGGGAGAAAACCTTTACCTAAAGGGAAACAAGGTTAAGAATTATACTTCCGGGGATCCCTGGGTGGTGCAGCGGTTTAGCGCCTGCCTTTGGCCCAGGGCGCGATCCTGGAGACCCGGGATCGAATCCCACATCAGGCTCCTGGTGCATGGAGCCTGCTTCTCCCTCTGCCTGTGTCTCTGCCTCTCTCTCTCTCACTGTGTGCCTATCATAAATAAATAAAAAAATTAAAAAAAAAAAAAAAGAATTATACTTCCTTTCCAAAACCATGCAAGCAAGAAGAGAGTAGAGTAAAATAGAATTTTGGGATAGGGGGAGAAGCTAAGATGGCAGAGTAGTAGGGGGACCCTGGAACACAGCTAAACCAACATCAAGTTATTTTGAACAACTAGGAAATCAATCTGAGGATTAAGAAAACAATTTGCACAATTGGGGCAAGAACGTGACAGATATGAGGTTCAGAGACATGAATTGGGAGAGAGAAAAGTCATGGCACTACAGAACAGTGGAAACCCTTCTCACAGAGCAGAGTCAGGGATGGAGGGAGAGAGTGGTGTGGAGGGCGGGCCAACCGCCAGGCACAGATGGGTTGAAGGCAGGGTTCTGATAGCCTAGGACACAGAAGAGGAGATCATTCACTTTTCTGTGAGGGCCTTGGGACAGCGGCAGCCACAAGTTCCTTTCCTCAGGTTGAGAAGGCAGGTTGACCCCATCTGTCCCCACTGCACCCCCACTCCTAATAGCAGCACAATTAGACTTCAGACAGAAACACAACCCCTAGAGTCACTTAAACAAAACCCCACCCCCCTGCAGTGGCCAGGGAGGGGAGGTGGTGGAATCTTTACAAGGGCAGGTCTACTTGTGAGGCAGTGCAGCAGGCCTCTCCCTCAGAAGACCAACAGAGGCCCTCTGCTTGCATCAAGACTACTGATTGTAGACTGCTCCAAAGGATCTGTTTCAGTTCAGCTCCCCCTACTCCTTCCTCCCTTCCTCTCTCTCTCTCTCTTTCCTTATTCACATATTTTTTTTAATATATATTTTTCCCCTGGCATTAGCCTTATAGTTCTTTTGTTCATTTGTTGGCTTGTTTCTTTTTGTAGTTTTTTGGATCAGGCTTTTTTTTTCCCCTCTTGCCTTCTTTTTCTTTTCCTTTGGAATCAGGCATATACTTTCTTGTTTGTTTATTTGCTTGCTTGTTCCTTCTCTTTTCTTGGATTGGGCTTTTTTTTTTTTCTTTCTTATCAGGCCTATCCTAAACAAACCCAAGCACAATGGCTTAAAGGTCCAAACACTCAACACTACAAGCATGGAGGAACTCAGCAGAGGACCAGCCTGTGGGAAAGAGCAGCCAAAACACAACAGCAGAATGTACACAGCATACACCAGAAATACTTCCTGAAGCACCAGGCCCTGGACAGTGTACTCCATATCATAGGAGTCCCAGAAGAAAGGAGGGGAAAAGCAGGCAGAAGGTCTGTTTGAACAAATTATGGCTGAGAACCTACCTAACCTGGGGAAGGGAACAGGCATTCAAGTCCGAGGCACAGAGAACTCTTCTCAAAGTCAATAAAAACAGGTCAACACCAAGACATGTGATAGTGAAACTTGCAAAATACAGAGATAAAGAGAGAATTCTGAAATCAGCTAGGGACAAAGGTCCAAACTTACAAAGGTAGACACATAAGATTAGCAGCAAACCTGTCCACAGAGACCTGGAAGCCAGAGGGAGTGGCATGATATATTCAGTGTGCTGAATGGGAAAAATATGCAGCCAGGAATACTCTATCCAGCAAGGCTGTCATTCAGGATGAAAGGAGAGATAAAGAGTTTTCAAGGCAAGCAAAAACTAAAGGAGTCTGTGACACCGAACCAGCTCTACAAGAAATACTAAAGGGGACCCTTGAGCGGAAAAGAAAGACCAAAAGGAACAGAGACAGTCTACAGGAACACCGACTTTACAGGTAATATAATGGCACTCAATTTATATTCATCAGTAATCACTCTGAATTTAAATGAACTAAATGCTCCAATGAAAAGACGTAGAGTATCAGAATGAACAAAATTTTCAAAGAAAAATCCACCAGCCTAGAGTTCTGTATCCAGTGACGTTATCCTTCAAAAGTAAAGAAGTAAAGAATTTCTCAAACAAAAACTGAGGGAATTTGTCACCAGTGGACCTGCTCTAAAGAAATGTTATGTTCTTCTGAAAGAAGGAAAGTGATATAGATCAAAAACTCAGGTCTACATGAAGAAAATAAGAGAGTTAGAAATGGAATAGATGAAGATACAAGAAAATCATTTCTTTTTCTTAACAGATCTGACAGTTTATTCAAATAACAATAGCAGCAACATAGTGGATGATTGATTATAGCTTATAGATAAGTGAAATGAATGACAGCAGTGTTCGAAGGAATGGGATTAAGAAATTTAGGATACTCTGCTATAAGGCACCTGCACTACCATGAAGCAGTATAGTGTTACTTGAAAGTAGACTTAGTTTGGTTATAAATGTATATTGCAAACCTTGCGGAAACCACTAAAAAATATTTAAAGAAACATAATTGGCATGCTATGAGAGGAGAGAATCAAATTGTACTAAATGCTCAGTTAAAATCAGAGAAGGCAGAAAAAGACAAAAAAGGAAAGGTAACAAAAGCAAGAACAATAAATAG